GTGGAACGCATGCAGTTCATGTAATGCATGTAATGTGATGAATGTAATGTATGTGGTGTGTGTGTGTGTGTCGTATATATGTGTGTGCAACGTGCTTAATGTGTGTAATGCTCGTAATTTATGTAGTGCGTGCCATCTATGTGAAGTATGTAATGTATGTAAGGTGTACAATGTCTGTAATATGCATGTAACGTACACCACAAAGCAGCTAGAATACGCCAAGGCGCTTCTGCGATAGCCCCTCTGCAGTTTCGGCATCCTGGCCTTAGTACCAATCTTCTTGCGGCCTTGCTATATCAGGTCCGGTCAAACATACTTGTTTCCCCTAAAGCACATGGCAAAATCGGTCTCCATGGGTTTGGGAAGATTGAGTGATTTAAGCCAAAACTCATGACACGAGAACAAACTACAGCCAGTCAAGGCCACAAGCAGCTGTGCTGGAAGTGGCCCCTGGCTAAACGCCAAGCTTCTGCTGGTTGGTAAACAAGCAACACTTGTACAAAACGTGGCGCTTGTTGAATGTCAGCCAGAGGGCAACCGAGGGAATGCGGTGCGTACAGTGTCACCTCTTGAAACAGCAAACCGTATCTTGAAAGGCAAGTCTCAACGAGCAAGTACGAACAAGTCTGCAAGTCTATGCAAACACAACACATCCGGGGGCACGCATCTATATAATATGCTGTACTCCATGGTATGGCACAAGTGTAGGGTTTTTCATGGTACACACATGCGCGCGCAAAACCAACTCCATGGCACTTCCCAGAAGATCTGGCGCTTGAACTCCAAGAAGAAACCCACGAACTCATGGAGTTTGTTTGACGCGCCGTCCACCAAGCTGAAGAGGTACCCCTGAAAATGACGGTCGAACAGCGGAAACCTGTTTTGGGTTTGAGCAGTTGTGGGGAAGCCAGCAAGCAAAAGGCACTTCAAAATGACACCATAGGAATGAAAGTACCCCTCGGCGTGGTATTGCTGATGGACAAAGTTTGAGATGTGCATCTCGACACAGACCGGACCCAGATCAATCCCCGAAGGGGAGCACAGGACCTCAAGCATCGAATCAGCGGGCGCTCACAGCACGAGACCCCGTGCGAAGCTTCTGCCACTTGCCCTCCAGCTCGTGGATAGTTTGGCCTGGGGTGGATCGGCTTCAGCCAAGAAAGTAATCAATAATCCTGGATTCATAAAACCGTTCAATGAATAGGTAGTTCCACTAAACGTACCGGGAATTTACTCAGCCACATGTCCGAGTGGCTTCCACCCCTGCACACCTGCTCGCTCACGCGCATCAAGTCAGAGCTAAACGCACGTCCGAGCTGCACGCACGCTGGCGCATGATAAGCACTCCCTGTCACGCACATTACGTCAGAGCTGCACGCTCGTTGGCAACTGATAAGCACACCGCCTCACGCGCATCACGTCGGAACTGCGCGCTCGTTACGCTCGTTGACACTTGATAAGCACACCCGCTCACGCGCATCACGTCAGAGCTGCACGCATGCTGGGACATGATAAGCACTCTCTGTCACGCACATCACGTCAGAGCTGCGCGCTAGTTGAGGCATGAGAAGCACACCTGCTCACACGCGGAGATGCACGCATGCTGGCACATGATAAGCACAGCCGCTCACGCGCATGATAAGCACACCCTCTCGCGCGCATCACGTCAGAGCTGCACGCACGCTGGCACATGGCACATGATAAGCACATCCGCTAAGTGCCATGTGTGCTGACTTGGTCCAAAACTGCACATGTCGACCTGAGACTCAGCTAGCGTGAGTTAGTTACCGGGATGTCCCACAACCCCAAACACATGCATTCTTGTCATACTGGCTGACATTGTCGCATGAACTCCGAGGTCATGCACAAAAACGTGCGGGTGACTATGCACCCGGCGCGCACTAAAAGGGGACACCTCCCTAATAAACATGCATAAACATGCAGCAGTGTATCAATCCGGGGTTCTTCCGTTCTCCCTGATTGAGAGCCCTTCAATGAACCAATTGCCCTGTACCGTACCTGGTGGCTTCACTGCCGAGATTGGCCACAAGGATTCAACAAGCTTGACAGATACTTTGGCACACATCTTCCCGAAGGATCCAGGGTGTTGGGAATGCACGTAGGGATTCCCTTTAAGGAAGCCATAGGGGACAGTTTATACGGGTCATTCCCTCATTCCCTGCTGAGATCCAGCAATCGTAGTGCAGGATACATTGGCAATGCAACGCTGTGGGTGGATTCTGAAAGTCACTATCAAGTGTATCAACTCTTGCTGCGTTTTCATCATCCGAGCGTGTATAAGCCCCCTTTTAGCCAGATACCTCCCATGATTCCGCAAGCAGCACGCTTGGATGTCTTGGGCCACTGGCAGGAAACAACCACCACCACGTTTTGGGGTTGTCTAATAAGAACCCCACCGAGCAAAACTGGAAAACGGGTTTTCGTCCCAGCAGCGATGCTGCGCCACTTCCAGCTCAAGCTGCTCTCGAGAAGCCTTCTCCTTCACAACCGAGAGTGGCTCGCCGGGGCTTTTTGACTCTACAAACACATGGGCTGTCCTCAGACCTGGCGAAAAGTTTAATGTTTGGTGGACCCCCGCCCCCCGCTAAACCGACTGAAAATCCACAAGCCTACAAAAATTCTAGAAAAGCTGGGAACCACCGTGAGACACAGCAGGCAGCCTGGCCTACGCCTTTGGATTGCCGCTGTTGCCTTGTTAGCCCATGTTTTTTTGGCCCGATCACTTCCCAAGCCAAAGTCTCACCCAAAGGTAAGCGTCCATGAGCGCATGGCCATTTCGCGCTACAAAAGTGGCCGGGTACCGTAGCTAAGCAATCATTGATCAAGCAGCTACCCTAGCAGTCCATACCCAGGTTTAACACCAGGGGGAGATTCAAGGAAAGCATGTAGCCTATGTCTGCTGATTGAGCTGTGAAATGCAATTTTTGGTGACCCTAGATTGACTCTAACTGGGATGCTGCACACGCGATTCTTTGATACAAGCCGGAACTCGTTTATCATAGCCCGTTCAAGGTCCCCTCACGAGCTAACTACTAGGACTCTATTTTACTTTGTGCTCCGAACTTTTGGAAGTGAATGAACCACCCCTGCGCTTAAACTATTCTCAGGAGTGGAACCTTGGATTGCAACACAAGATAAACTTGGTTATCTGGGGTCCGCTTGAACGGATCTGGTGTGTGTTTTGAAATCTGACCCTTGCAGCGGTGAAAAATATGGAGCAATGTCCTTTACGCCTATGAATGACGAAAGACTTCAGGATTGCGCAAGGATAGGTCGCAGTTGAAAGGGCAAAACAGTTTCAATGCGTCGTCAAATTAAGCGAACAAAAGGGGGAGGAGCGGTGATTAAAGGGAGGCAACATGAAAATAAAGATTTGCGCCGAACCTCCGCATGTGGGTTGTCATGGTCCCCTGAGGACCCTTCCAACGGCTATTAAACATTCTCAAGTTGTTGATTTGTTTCCTGTATTGAGAATCCCGAAAACGGTTCCATCCGGAACGGCCATCCCCTGCCTATTGCACCAGCAACTCAATTAAGAACTACTCATAGAGACTAATAACATGCAGGAGGCCAATGCCAAGAAACCAACAGGCTATCCCAGTAAAGGGGACCTGCAGCAGGATTGGATTTTGTTTCCTTTGGTGTGTCATTTCAGCATTCGGTGTGGCAGGGAAGAGTCATATTCTCACAGGGATATTCCAAGCAACTGGCTCTTAGAGGCAGGGCAATCAGTGAACAGAGATGCTGAGCTCATATTCTATGGCCGTCCAGCTCAAAGTGAAGTGGTCACCGGCCACAAACTGCTCACCCCGTGCCCTGTTTTTTGTATCATGCAGAGATATGGGTGGCTGCACCAAGTGAGTCAGCCAGGCCCATCAGGTTACCATATTTCAACGCTGCTAGTGCAGCGTTGCAATGCGGGCACAGGGCTCCCTATAGTTCCCCCTTAGGCATCACAAGAGGAAACTCAGCTGGTTCAACCAGTGATGTCAAACTGGATCAGAATATAGGGACCCCCGCAGCCGAAACAAAAAACACCAACTTTTACATTCACACCTCCCACTGAGGCCTTGAGGTCCTCTTCGGTGGTCACAGCCGCTTGTGTCTTTCTTCTGACTTCGGCGTTCAGTGGGGGAGTTGGCAGCGAGGCGGCGCCACATGAAAAGCGGCAGGCCGATTTATCGAACACCTGTCCAACGAGGAACCATTCTGAAGGGTTGCGGCAGCAAAACAAGATATAGTGGTTCCCTTCTTTAAAACAAGCATGCTGTGACAAGTGCCTTAGCCAACAATAAGAACGCCCCACAATCGCTGGATATATAACGGGATTCGCCTTGGCGGATGCTATTGCCTGCAACCCTGTTCTGTACAGAATGACTCGCCGACTTCACTTCCTGAGCGCCTGCCAGTTTTGCCGGTGATGAACGCCTAGAGAGTTGGCCACGGGATCCCACCAAAGCTGCAACGGCTGACCTGGAACGATGCCCCAGGGCACCGAGATGACGATGGTGTCCTCACCGAGCCATGCGACGGCTCTTTGGAAGGCGCTAGCCACTTCAAGCAAGATCTACAACTGTAGACATGTGGCATTGGTCAAGTCACACGTCCAGCTACCCAGTGAGAGGAACATGTTCATGAGCCCCATGCCCCATGTCTCATGAGAGGACGGAGCAACCATCCGTCCCATGCTTTCCTTTGGAGATCAGATTAGCAGCCAGCCATTTCAAAAGCACGGAATCTGAATGGGGGCAGGGTCAAAAGACGCATTTGAGCTCCCAAAACCCGTTGACTGTTGCTTCCAAGACAATTAAGCTGTATATCGGCCTTACCATCCTTGAGCAAGAAGGTTGTAGAACCACCTATATACTCACCCAGCCAATGTCATGGTGGATAAGGACGAGCCCCTAATAAGGGAGAGCCCTACATAAGGGATAGCCTCCCCATAGCCTGTCTTAGGGGTCCATGACAATGGGGCGCTTTCGGGCGTCCTTGCCGGGCACTTCCACCTGAATGAGGTCATCTGGGCCCAAACCGGCGGGGACCTCCACCTCCAAGAGGTACAAGCCATCGCCTTGTCCGAAGGTCGGGCTGACTCTCCGGAGAATGGACAGAAGCAAGAGGAGGGTCCTGCTTTTTGTTGTTGCTGTCATTTTTTTTGGGGGAGAAGATTACTTTAAGCGTATGGGTGTTTGGGGTCCGTGTTAGTCTACGGCTAACTCAAGAGGATTCCCCCCGCCAGAACACGAGAGGAAAATAGGATTTATACCCTGGACTTATTGTTTACGCAGTGGGGTTGTTCCTTTGATTCACGGAGGAACCAACAAGGGCTCCTGTCCACAGGTGCCTTTAAATAACATTGGCTTTTTGAGGGTCCACGTTTATCTGCCATAGCGCGGTGCACGGATTCCCGAAATCTTGCAACCAAACCCCCGCACCAGCTTTTTAGGCGATGGTTCAACCAACCATCCTTTTTGGAACCCACCCACCCCGTCCCCACACCCTAACCCCCCCCGCCGCCCTCACACCCCACCACCCCACCCAGCCCGCCTTCTTCTGGCAAAGGCGCCGATGGCGCCTGGGATTCCTCCAAGGGGCAACGCCCCAGCAGCAGGAACTTGCTCAGGCTGTAGGGCACCTCTCACCGCGCTCATGAAAAGAAGAGAAAGAAAGTGATCGGGTTTTGGAGAACGCCTGAGCAAGAGTCCTTTTGGACAAATACACATGTTTATACATATATATATATAAGATATATGTATATATACGTATATGTATAATTATCATATGTATATATATATATATATGTGATCTGTGTATATAGATATATAACTGTCTGTTAATATGTATATATATATATATACAAATCACACTGGCAAATGATCTCAACACCAAACATGTGTATATGTATATATGTGAGGGTTCAACAAAAGGTCCGAATACATGGGACCATTCGGGAACCAAACAACTACTTTCACCACTAATTGGGAAAAACTACCCATGGTCATTTGGAGGCCAGGAATTCTGATCAGACCATCGATCTTCAACCAACCAAACCAACAACGACACCCGTGCGACTCTAAAAACAGCCCATGGGTTCCTATATGTCACGGAACGTTGTTTACGCGTGACCTTGTGCTTGGCGTTGCGTAACCCCATGTAGCTTACGGGGCGGTCAGCAATCATGACGAGCTTGCGCCTCCCCTACGCGTGAGCTTTTGAGCGTTTGTCCACCAGAATTGCTTATGCCAGCTACCTGTTCTATGCAGCCGCCAGAAAATGGCTCTGAGGAGGAAGTTGATGAGGAATTGCCCATAGGCGGATCAACTTGGCGGTGCGGTTCCGTTCTTTGTAGCCTGCTTGCTCTGTGTTGGATTTGGTCGACAGCTTTTCCTCCACAGTTCATTTTGCCTCCACGGCAAATCGAGGAACGGCTGAGGCGGCATCCATGGCGGGGGCAAGCGGGAGCTTACGCGAACCGCACAGTACGCTCCAGCTTACTGGACCTTAATCTGCTGATAGCCCTTTTCAACATCACAGTTGCGGCCCCTTCCCTGCCAAACCGAGCCGGTCACTGCTCTTCTGGCAAGCAAAGCCAAGGGAATGGCCGGAACCGAGCATTTTGGCGCGTGCTTTCGCAGCACCTGATGGAGGCCACGAGCGCGAATATAGACACGTGCAACCCCAAAACCCAACGACATGACTAGAAAAGACGCCACAAAAGCAGTTCAATCTGTAAAACTCCACTCCAACACATCCCCAAAAGCATCTCCAACGATGTGCCCACTATCCCGGAACCGCAAGGACACACGGAAGACGCATCAACCAAGATGTGCCTCAAAAACACCCCTACCCCCCAAACAGGCGCAACCAAACACGCCTTCCACAAACCAAGCCCTCCGCCCTCCGCCCAAGACGTCCGCAGAGGTACTCCCCAAAGACCCCGAATATATCGGCCAACAAAATGGCAATCACATCACCGAACGCTCCAAAAAGACACTCTCAAAGATGTTCGCCGCAAGCACCCTTGAAGGATACTCCCCAAACACCCCCCCCCCCAAAGACACCTCGATACAGCCAACAGCCTTGCAAAAGCCAAAAACATCCCCAAACACACATTTCCCAAGATCTCCCCAAAAAAGACATCCGCCAAAAGGCATCCGGGACCCCCACAGGTTGGTTTTCGCTTGTCTTCGCTCCACCGTACCTAAAAGGGACCCCTGTGACACGGAGTGTAATGAGAGTAAAGGGCCCGGCGATGCCAAGGGGCAATCTCAGCGGCAAGCGTGCCTTGAAGCCACCTGGAGAGCTGAGAGATGCAAAGCAAAGGGAGTAACACCAACCCGAGCAAACACCAACCGATGTCCCGAAGTCTCATGTTGCACCTCAGCTTCCCCCCAAAGAAGATATTATGATGATGGTCCATAGCCTCCGCCTTAAAACGCAAAACACATTTCAAAAGAGAAGTCTGGTAGTGGATGTGTT